GGCCTGGGATTCGAACCTGTGAATTACGATGTAAAGTTGCCTGAATGTCTGGAAAATTACGTATGTTAGCTGTACCTTGTCTCAGTCCCTCCAGCTTGGTGTAAGGCTCCTCCCCTAAATAAAACGGAGGCGCAGGTCGAACCAGGTGTGCATTACAGCCCGGAGGGTGTGTTATACGGCTGACTAGGCATGCGTGGATGACCAGCTAGCAAAGGGAACATACTGCCCGCATAGCTAAGATGTTTGCTATGTGGGATCTTACTGCCCTCATGGCTAATATGTTCAACACGCCTGATCTGCTATGGTTTCGGGGTGTCTCTTTGTCTCTCTCTTTGCGTCTTTGTGACTCCTCTTTTGCTATTCCTATCGCCGCCAGATATCCCCACCTCGTGAACCAAACACCTATGTCGAGGCAGGTCCCCAACATACTGCCCAGTCCTGCACCATACTCACAGTTGTTTAAAAGCATTGGGAGCAACTGTATCCTCCCAATCTTGTTGAAAGTCTTCCATTTTTGTGCTAACCCTCTGCTTTACCAAGCATGCTATCCTTCTCCAGAGACTGGGCATTCCTCATAACATGTCTGCAGTACATGAAATAAAGTCTTGTCATCCTCACTACTAAGAAGCTTTCCAGTTATATTTTCTTCCAAGACAGGTTTGTTTGTTCTTCTGGCAGTCCATGCTATTTTCAGTATTTTTTTCCAACACCATAATTCAAATGCATCTATTCTTCTTCAGTCTTCTTTATTTATTGTCCAGCTTTTGTAAGCATACAAGGCTACTGAAAATGCCAAGCTTTATGTTAGGCACACCTTAGTCCTCAAAGTGACACTTTTGCTTTTCAACACTTTAAAAAGGTCCTTTACAACAAATTTGCTCAAGAAAATATATAATCAAATCTCTTGACTGCTAAAGAACAAAAGGAGGTGACAATTTGGCAGAGTAGGCAGAAAGGCTGTAGGGACCCTCTATAACAAAGATACAGATAACCAAATGAAACTGATGCAGATTCTTGTCCTGGAACTCTGAGCTTCTAATGAAGCAATAGAGAAGTGGATTGAATGCTTACTGGGAGAGAGAATGCTGAGCCACCACAGCAAAATAAGGAGAGCTTGGTGATGAGCCAATGACCAGCTAGATGCAGCCATCTTGAGCTTTTGTGGGCAGCTTGCAGAAACATACTTGTGGCCTGCAGAGACAATGGTGAGATTTTCTTGTTCCCCACACTCCCCTGGTGCTCCCCTCCAGGGCATACCCCCAGGCAAGCTCCCACTCTTTCAGTAACTGGAGCTGCACAGAGGTGATTATCATGATTGTGGGACCCATTAAAGGATAGGAGAGCTGTCCACATTGACCCTGTTAGGGTGGGCCCTGCTCCAGATCTGCATGGTCTGCCTTGGCCAGCCCTGTGCTGGCCCTCACTAGGAGAAACAGTGGGGAAGGGAAAAAAAAAAAAAACAGAAAAGAAACTGCTCATCTACACTGGCCGCCACAACAGCTGTGATTGTGACCATCTTGAACTTTCACCAGTGACTTTGAAGGCAAGATGGAAGTAGGTGGCACAGAGGTATACTACTTATTGGTCAGAAAGGGTTTTTTTTTTCTTCTTCTTCTTTTCTACTCATACCCTCACATTCTCAGATTACCCTGGTGGTGAGAGATGTGTCCTGTCCCCATCCAAATACACTCCCAGGGAAGCTCCTGCTTTCCAGGCTGGTGAAGTCACATCAAAGTGTGTGGGGAGCTAGCAGCACCAAACCCAAGCCCCTGGAACCAGATGTGGCCTATTCCAGACTTACAGAGCTGATTCTGGTCAGCCCTGGACTGGAGGAACCTGTCACTCTTGACGTTCCTCTGGCACGGAAATGCCCTGATATCCAGCTGCTTTGGGGTCTGCACAACTGCTTCCTGATTGGGTACCAAGAAAAGACAACACCTAGCCTGACAGGAGCTCCATCTAATGTTGAGTGTTGCCATCTCATTCCTTATCCACCCATTACGTGAGGTCCATGGCTGGCGGGAAATCCCGGAATTTTCTCCTCTCTGGGTCTGGCACCTGCTCTGAAAAAGAAACCAGGAAAACATTACCATTTACAACAGCAGCCCAAAAGATGAAATACTTAGGAATAACTCTAACCAGAGAAACAAAAGACCTGTGCAAAGAAAACTACAAACCACTTCTATAAGAAACTTGCAAAACTGGAAGATTCTACGATACTCATGGATAGGACTCTAAACTTTGTAAAATGTCAATGCTACCAAAAGCCATTTATAAATATAATGCATGCCAATCCAGATTCCAATGTCATTCTTTAAAGAGCTAGAAAAACCTGTCACCAACTTTATATAGAAAGGAAAGAGTCCCTGGTAAGCAAAGTGTCACTAAAGAAGAACTAAGTAGGAGGCCTTTCACTTCCGGGTCTCCGAACCTGCTGCACAGTCAGCGAATTCAAAACAGCCTGGGACAGATACATCAAACCAATGGAACAGAATTGAGAACCCAGAAGTACATTCATCCACATACTGTCAGCTGATCTTTGACAAACGGCCAAACTCCATTCAATGAGAAGAGATGACTTCTTCAACAAATGATGCTTGCAAAGTTGGAAATCCATTTTCAGAAAAATTAAACAAGACCCATATCTCACATCATATACAAAAGCAACCGCAATATGGATTAAAGACCTAAATGTAAAGACTAGAGCTATAGAGATTGTTGTTGCTGTTAAATACTGTGGAGACAGCTGGTGAGCTTGAACCACCAACCCTGCAGTTCAAAACGACCTTGCAGTCCAGTGCATTAACCTGCAGCACCACAGATTATTAGTGAAAAAATAGGGACAAACTAAAGGGCTTCGATGCATGGTATAAATACACTGTCAAACATAAATAAAAACACACAAACAGTAAAAAATAGGGTAACTGGGATCTCCTAAAAACTAATCACTTATGTGCATCAAAATATTTTTCCAAAAGAGAGTCCATAAACTGGGGGGAAATTTTTTGCAGTGACATATCAGACAAGGAACAAATCTCTAATATTTACAGAAAACCACAGCTCTAAATATATA